TCACCAACTTTCACCAGGGGTGTCAATTCGAGTCCAATCCAAGTTGACCCGAGCATAAACGAGTTGACTCGAACCTGACCCATTTAGCTAAATAGGTAATTATTTTTGACACGGACTCGGCCCGCACAGGTTATCAGGTTGACCCGACCTGACCGAGAACCTGCGGACAGACGCAATCGCTGAGTCGTGACTCACGGACACATAGCAGCGTCGGGCCTATTCTGCGTGGATGCTGGTGCTAGGCGAGGTCAACTGGCCGAGGTGGAGCGGCCTGTGTGGCTGCGTTGGGTCGAACCGAGGAACCCTAGCGCAATCGAGGTGGTCATGCGGAGGCAGAGCAACTGAGCGTCGACAGCGGAGCGATACGGAGCAGCGAAGACGCGGAGTCGTCATGACTCGACTGCCTGTCCGCCTGTGTCGCCTGACAGACTCGACAGCAGCACAGTGCTATCATGACGCTACGGATCAAATTTTCGGGTCAGTCGTGTCAACCCGCGGGTTGTCCGGTCAACCCGAACCCGATCCATTTTTTCAAATTATCAAAACTTCAAACCCAAACCTGCCCCGTTTCGTAAACGGGTTGACCCGAACCCAGATTTTTTCGGGTCGGGTTTCAGACATTTTATGAATTAGTGGGGAAATTCAGCACAAAGCTGAATAGGAATTGACATTAGTTGATATAAATACTTATTTATGATGAGATTAAATTTATTTTTTAAGATTAATTCTGATATAATGGTAAGATTTGTTAGCAGAAAGGGACAAATAAAAAATACTCCATTATGTTCATATAGGGAACTAGGATTAGGCTAATAACTTATGATTAAAGATTAATTACAAGCATAATCAAGTTTCAGAAAATAAGAAAGGATCATTTGGAAAGAGAATGAGTATTTGAGCAACATCAAGATTCGCATTAAAATGATTGTTGTTTAACCTATCTAGTTTTTTCTCATATTTGAATGGCGAATACGAAAGAATAAATTTAATGTATTTAGAATATATAGGCTATTGGGTGCCGATTAAAAGAGAGATTATTACATGCGGTCATTAGACCGCATGTTCGGAGGTCAATCAGGATGCTCCACGTCACCCGATAGACAGTGGTACACAGTAACAATACACATCATATTAGTAATGTGACGCATCCTGATTAGCCTCCGGACGGCGTCAAGTAACCGCACGTATTAATATTGCCAAGTAAAAAAGGGTGTAAAGTTCAAATGTAGTGATTTTAAAATATTAGTGGTTGACTTGAAGTAGGAAAATACATAGTAAAGTTTTATTGTATATAAAAATCATTAGATTTGGGTGATTTTCAAATCCATCGTTAATTTGTTATCATTGTCACTAGCAACCGTCAGCTACCACCAAGCGTAATCGGCCACCACTGCCCACTATAACTGCCATTAGCCACCAGCAGTTACCCCCTCCATTTGTTGTAGCTGCACCATCCTTGACCGCCACCTGCCACTACACACCGCCCTTCTACTGGCCACCAACCACCACATCTTTGAATTTTATACTACATTCATTTTACTTCAAGCAAAACAAGAGTATATATATTTATTTTACACTCATCTGAAAAATTCCAAACATTTCAATTGCATGATATTTAGTTTACACTATATTTATACAAGGAGATATAAAATAGGGGTGTTAAATAGTTTGTTTAAGTCAATATTAGCCAATTCATTTAAGCTCTTTGAATTTCATTTAGGACTTATGCGAGCTTAAATTTATGATCCTCATCATTTGTGATGAATATTTATTAGTTACCCATTAAGCCATTTAAATTTGCTAGAGAGAGAGAGAGAGAGAGAGTGAAAATCATTTTAAATTATTTTTTGATTTATGATGTCTCAATTAAAGAGTTTATAATTAATTCATGATATAAGAATGTGACTTATTGAGCAAGAGTTTATTTATTTATTTTTTAAGATATTATGGGTTCAAAACTATGCTTTAATTTTTTTAGCTTGATAGGTGGAGGATATATTGAGTTTTATAAATAATAAATGAGTTCATGAGCTAACCCCTCAACTAATTAGGGTTAGCTCAACTAAGCTCATATCCATTAAGGTTAACCATTAGATTTTTAGATGGTCAGGCCTATGGGCTTACTTGATAGTCCTAAAGATACATGCTTAACCCTATATAGAAGTTTATGATTTTGTTTTCATATAATTATATAATAAAAACGCAACATTTTTTAGTGCATATTATAAATACTATTTCATAATTATGTGAACTAATTTAGATAATACATTGAACATAAGTTTGGCCTTTTGTAACTATAGATCGAAGACTTTACTGGCGAAGTTTTGGAGGTTGTTGACAACAGTCAATGATGCCAATCGGGCATTAATTTTAGAGAGATTTGGTCGAAGTATGACACAATCAAATAATGGAAGATGATCCGCATTAATTCTTTTAGTAATAGATCATTCTTTATTGAAATTAAGTGACCTTAGACTCATGGAATTCATCTTATCGAGAAGCTCGCTTTGTCTATAAGCTCACAATATTTATACTTTATTTGATCCTAAATTAATATCACCAATTTTTTTAATTTCATTTTAAGTCCTTGATTTGGGCCTTATGTGAACTCAGATCGAAACACGTTTGATGTCATTAAATTTGTTTCCCCAAAATGATTATTTCAACTATAAGATTTCGTTTGGGACGATTTTTTTATTGTTTCTTGAAGCAGTTTTCTAGTACAAAAATTCTAATTTTTATACTAAAAAACTAATTCAAGCAGTAAGAAAGCCGTTCCAAACGAAGCCTAAGTTTGCTAAAATGAAAGATCAAAATTTTCTAATTTTAATTTAGAAAACTTTCTATTTAAATATTGAATTATAACCGTGAAATGGATTTTTGATGCCGTATCAATATATGTGATACAATGCTTTGACTGTATAGAGAGATTTAATCAACTAGGATCTAAAATTAGACATAAAACTTGCCTTGCAGACTGGATCTAAAAATAATAAATTCTTCCCACACTTTTTATCTTTTTGTGCTTTACTACAAAACAAAAGATGTACCTAATGTGAAGCTTCTGTCGCCAATATGACATACAGGGAGAGATTGATGTACAATTTTATGTATTTATCTCTCAGTACTCAAAAAGATTATTTCTACGACTCAAAGCTACAAACTCCATATCACAATAAAAATAAACTAACTAACCAAGCGAATGATAGGAAACACTGGAAGATCTCAAGTATTTTCTATCAATCTTCGGAAAACAGAGCGCTTTCTTATCAATATCCACACAAAAACATGAAAACAGTACAATTTTTGTAATATTTGATGAAATGGAAACAGAAAATAGCAAGATACAGTTGATCCTCAATTCGAGAGGAGGATCGATCTCTCCCAAATCTCTAGATGCCGCTAGACCCCCAATGAAAACCTAAATCTCGGAGATCTCAAATTTCAACCAAATTCAAGATGCCATAAACCTAGGAAAACAAACTATTTAATGCATACAAATCAAAAGGAAATCCCTAAACAATCCCTACATTCAAATTTCCCTCTTAATTCCCCAAAAAAACCTTCCTATTCGGCTCCCACAAGGCTTGCGGCTCACGCGGCATCCGTCGCAGGCGGAAGGATCCGCTGTTTCGCCCGTAAGCCGGTCCCGCCTGGACCGGCTGGACCAGTCTAACAGCTAATTCTCTCACTTTACAAATCTCAGGTATCATTTTGGACGGCTTTTTTATTGCATTTTAAAATAACTTTTTAGTAAAAAAAAAAAAAGCTTAGTCCAAAAAAATTTTGTTCCAAAAATTTGTTTTAAAAACCCTAAAAAAGCCGTCCCAAAAGAAGCATCAAACTCATTATGTTGACATGGGGTTTTTAGTGATAAGATAAGGTGAGATAATACATGAATTAGTTAAAATGAGCATACAAGATAGGGCTGTTTCAGGAACCATTATTATGTGCTGACCCCGGATGGCGTCCGGAGGTGAACCAGATCACGCCCTATCACTTTTTTCTATGTACCGCAACTATATACCTGTTATGTACCGGATGAGGTGGCGTGCTCTAATTCGCCTCCGAACAGTCCGGTGTCCGCACAGAATAATTTATCATGTTTCAGACTCATTACGTTGTTTCATATATAATCTTAATGTGTCAATTTGAACTGCTATCATGATTGAGTCAATCATGATAGCTAAAAGAAATGAGCTCATCAGTATGTTCTTTATGAAATATAACACAGAAATCAACTTTAGATCCATTGTCCCTATCCTGTTGGGATAGAATTAATAATTTTAGTTATCTGCTAGACTTTTTCCACCGACTGATTCTCAAGTTAATTAATGTTTTTGGTAGCTATTGTCAATGCTAGAAGATTAGTATTTGATTAGATTGGAATCCACATGGCATCAGCCTTTTTCCTTGACAGGCATGTTTGGTCTAATCTACTTGCAGCAAAATTATTGCTTGATGTTAAAGGAAACTATAGAAAAGTTCTCAACTGCTTCAGGAATTGTTTGTTTTACCCATTGAAAAAGTTAAATTCTCCACTTGCTTAACCAACTCTTTTTCTTTATTTGGTCAGTTTCTAAATACCTCAAAGGCTATCAAATCCATTTTGGGCAAAGATATAAAACTAAAGATGATAGTGAAATGAGCCTACTGATAACTTACTCAATTAGTGCCTTTAGGTTCCGTTTGGGATAGATTTATTACTGTTTTATGTAACAATTTTTTAATAGAAAGAAAGCTGTCCCAAACGAAGGCTTTGTTTGGGACGGCTTTCTTACTGCTTTTTAAAGCAGCTTTTTTTACAAAAATTATAATTTTTATACAAGAAAGCAGCTTTAAGAAGATTAAGAAAGCTGTCCCAAACGAACCCGAAGTCTTAATAAAAACATACAAAGTTCACGTCTTGCGAAAATGAATACCTGCGGTTCTAAAAGTTTCTGTGGATCTATTATTGGCCAGGAAGAAACTGCAAAACTAGAACACAGAGAGAACATCTCTTCATCAAAAAACAAATTACATTTTGAAATATTCCAAACTTCTATTTACAGGATATTACCAACATCAATGCATGTAAAGGTGTTTTTTTTTTTTTTTTGCAGTTACAAAGGTTTTTATGGTTCAGGCAAGTTTTCAGTCAAAATAGCTTCCATCTCCATGACAATCATAGGGTGAAGCTATTTTTTATAACTTGAATAAAAGATACAATTTAGGCTTAGTTTGGGACGGCTTTCTTACAGCTTCTTAAAGCAGCTTTCTAGTTAAAAAATTAAAAATTTTATACTAAAAAGCTGCTCTAAGAAGCAGTAAGAAAGCCGTCCCAAACGAAGCCTTAGAATCACAAAGTAAACTCAGGTGCAATAAAAGGGCTATATCTGAGTGCTGGGCTTACTTGCTATCCAGAAGGACCATTGCTCGCAGAACGCCATGAAAAACAGCGAGAGGAATTCACATTACGAATTCTAAAGAGCTGTAATAACGGTTAAGTGATAGTCATTAGTTTGCATCAATATCGTCAGTAATTAACTGCTTATTTGCCCGCTCTTAGTGAAAGAACAGGACCAGTATAAGAACTTTTGCTCGCAAGAGAGTGGTCCAGGAACAAAACTATAACAGTTATGTCATCATGAAAGTGTCTCCGGATGCCACGATCTATTTTTTTAAGGTCGGAGTACCTTATCTCTCTTTTCCTGGCCGCCACTTGCAATGCAGCTTCAATAAGCCTCCTTGCAATTCCCTGCACATTATCAGATTCGAGATTGATTATTTTTTGCAAATGCCGGGATTATACGTTGGGAAATTTTTGTACGTGGATTGATATATTTATACATATGAACAAAATATTATACATTAGAGGCTATTTAAAATTGAGCTAATTAAATTCGTGATTTATTTAAGTATTAAATTATTATTTGACTTATGTGACATGTCAATTAAATTTTTATGGAATTAATTATTGTGTAGAGGTCGAATATTTATTTTATTTTAATGATGAGCTGAAATAAAATAAATACATTTAAGGTATAAAGAGGTTGTGGTCCCAGTTTAAGCGGTTAAGTTCTCATTTCCCATCTTAAGTGAAAAGAAGGGGTCTCTCACTCTCTTGGAGAACGCCGCTTCAAACGTGGAAGACCGAAATCCTCGATTCTGCATTTCAATGGATTCAGATACGCTTCTGATAATTCTTCTCGATGATTTGACATATCTTTAAGAGCCAATGAAATTATTTTTTCATCTCATTGCATCCTAACATTATAAACTAAATATAGTACAACATTACCATATTCACAGAATTTTTATAAGCCCGCAATAATACTGGATGAAAATTAATATATATATATATATATATATAATTTGAAAACTTTGCAGCATTTAATAAAACAAAAGGAAGAAATTTCTGATATTAAACTTGGTTATGCTTCCTATTGGAAAGAATGAAAAGCCTACAACAAGTCATAAGAAGATAAAAAATTAAAAAAGATAATCATAACGTAAAATTCGGACAAAAACAGCACTATGAAACATTATTAATGTCGATTAGGACAGTGAAACTGAAAATAATATCTTTTGCTCTTCATAATCCATATGAAGAATCAACAGCTTTGCTTTGCAGCAAAATTATGCATCTTTGTACCCTTCTTAACTTGGTAAGCAAAGCAAGGTATGTGCATCTAACAGAAAATTAGATCTGTATTAGTCTATTAGATTCATTTTACTGGTGACAATGATGTGCTCTTCATAATCTTTATGGAAAATTCAACAAATTTGGCTTAAAGCAATATTCTTCACTTAACGAGATAAATGATGCACCTTTGGGCAGCATACCTTTCTAAGCAAAGCAGGGTATGGATTACAATGGAGAATACGTATGCTTTATGTATTTCAATAAAAATTTCGGGGGAAAAAAAGGATGTCTCTCTAACCTATACTATTGAGGAAGATTAAAGCTTCGTTTGGGACGGCTTTCTTATTGCTTCTTCAAGCAGTTTCCTAGTGCAAAAATTTAAACTTTTGTACTAGAAAATTGCTTTAAGAAACAGAAAGAAAGTTGTCACAAATGAAGCCTAAATTGAGACAATATAATTGTCTCAGTCAACCTAACAGGCGTGTTAATATTGAAATATTGCTGAAGAGTGTAAGTTTTTAAGAAAATTATCTGTGCCTAAAACCTACCTCAAAAATAAAAGTGTTCATTCCACAAAAGATGAAGTATTACAAAAGTAAGCATCTTACATTACGGGGGGAGTTTTGAACCATATCCACAGCCTCTTGGTTGCTTATGTGCTCCCACAGGCCATCAGAGGCAAATATCACAAACTGATCTTGTGGGCATATCTTATGCGTCACTACTGATGGCTCGGCTAGTAGGATTGGCTTAGAAAATGATTCAGACAGACGAAATTTTCCAATAAGAGGTTCTTTATTGAATTCTGCTTTCTTCAAGTATGCATCTCCTATTGATCGGGAAACCTGAAAAATAAAATAGTGCAATACTAAAGAAAGTTACAACATCATGAGTGAACAATGTTCCAGCAGAAAAATAAATAAAAATCACGGGGGCAAAAAAATAACTGTAAAGAAGCGTCAGGAGTGATGAAAATTTGAAGTCAATTTGGATGCATTCATAGTGTTCGTTCATGTTATGTCATTATTCATGACAAGTCAAATTCAGAATGTCAAAGGATTTGCTATTTTAGAGGAAGTCATGTCATGGAAAATATCAGTAAATCATTTGATGATTGAAGGGGTAAAAGCTAATTTGGAATATTTATGAACAAATTTACATCATCATAGTAATGCAATGTTTGAGTCAAATACATGGTTTAGAAATTCGAAGCAGACCAGCCAGTTTGATCGGTTCAACCATGAACCACTTATATAGTTGGTTCTGTCCTCATGAAAAACCGGCCCAGCATCAAACTGGTAAGAACCGGTTTGAACTACTGGTTCAACTAGTGAGTCGGTCCCAATTTTAAGAACAGACCGGTTCAATTCATAATCTATTTAAATAATAAAATTTAATATAAAATATTAAATATATTTAAATATTACACATTTTATTTAATACTAGCAAAATTTTTTACAAAAATTATGTATCAATCACGAACTAAAAACTCATACCCACATGATGCCACCACCTCATGTTAGCCCTTAACTCATGTAAACAAAAAAAGCTATATAAACAACACAAGACAAAACTTCCAAGTGATGTGGGTCTAAACAACTAGTTGAAAATTTTATTTTTAAATATATACATTATATATTTTTAAACAGTTTTTTTAATAATAAGAATACTATTTATTTTATTAGCTAATTATATTTAGTTATTTATCTATTTTCTATTTTATTTTTTAAAATATTCATTATTAAAAATTAATTTTTATCTATTTATTAATTTTAAATAATCTAATATGAATGATTTATAGATGTAAAATTTTAAGGTGAATTTAATATATAATTTATGGTTGTAAAATTTATCTCTTACTATATAACATAAATTTACACTAGTTTATAATAATTTATATTAAATTTAACATAAATTAGTAAATAATTTATGTTAAATTTATAACTTTATAAACTAAATTTTTTTTTAGTCACAAATTTATATCATTCTATAATTATTATATCATTTTTTTTCAAATAATTATAATATTTATTAGGTCATCTAGTTCAACCCCTGGTCCAAATCCAGGTCGAACCATTAAACCTTGAACATCTCATATTTCCGGTTCGATGTCCGTTCCAGATTTCACAACCTTGATTAAATACCAAAAAAATGTGCTTTCCTAGATTCAAGGATAAAAATATCGCTCAAATTTGTGATCTCAACGAAAGGCAGATTGCAAACTCTGAAGTTTTGTTAGCTCGCAGAAACTTATTACGTAGCATTACTATGAAACTAAAGAAAACTAGATTAGCTGAAAACAAAAGAAATAGTAAAAGAAATGAGTCCTGACCTGTATGATCCCCTTAACACGCCAAGCCCTATTTTTTAAAACGACAATTTTTGGATCTGCAGGATGCAATAACCGAAGTTCTTGTCTAACAGATTCATGACATGCATTGTGCTCAGGTGTCAGTTGTACAGCCACAACACCCCTTTCATGCAGGTTGAATCTTCCCAACACTGCACGAGAATCTCCAATATTTGCCGTATAAAGCATCCCACCACATATAAACCCAGTTAAACAGCATGATCCAACCGTTGCTAATAGAGGCATATTTGACCAGTTCTTCTTGACAATTGATAGGAAGCCATCCTCTGTTGCCAAGAGTGCTTTGTGTAAAACATCCGCTGACATGCCCTCCTCTTCATCTATAAACCCTTCATGTCACAAGGATAAATGAAATAAGTACTCTGTGCCATGAATCATAACAATGAAGAAATTTCAAGGAAGCAAAGACTTGAAAAGTATTATATTATCAGTAAAAAATCATAGAATTGCAAGTTCCATTGTTCAGAAGTCTAGCAAACCAGCTTGCTTTGAACAATTACAATGAAGAGTGATTTTAAAGAGCAGAAAATGATAATCATCAGATTAAATCATGTTGAATAAAATCATAAAATTGAAAGTTTCAGTGCATTACAAGTTTGAAAGTCTGGCAAAAACGATTAGTTTGAACAAGTACAACAAAATTTATTTGAAGCATGTAGAATCTAGGGATAGTCTAAGATTCACAACTATCTTTTCTATTTTCATCAGCATCAAAGCATTATTTTCTATCACTAAGCTTGCAGCCCTCTATATCTTCTTTTTTTTTGGAATCATCATCAGCAGCAACATTTAGTATTGCAGAACTTAAGTTCTTGCATCTACATTTGATCAACTTATTTCAAAATATACATGCTTGTTTCTAGAACTCTTGAGGTTACACATCATCCTATGTAAAATTATCATCATTAAAAACTAAATCATCTACAGCATGTGGGGTAAGTAGTGGCAACAGGGCTATTATATCTGAATGAATCAGAAATATTTATTTCAACATATCCTGCAACATCAAACTATCTACACGGGAAAATCCACCGGCGCCTCCTAACCCTGAGAACACCCGAAGTTCAACATCTCACACAAAACAGACCAACAAATCAAATCTATCAGCAAGAGTTCCCAATTCACATGAACATAAAGATTCAGAAGAACTTACTTCCAATCCATTGAAAAAGATTGTCAGCGACATAACGGGCCGCCTCCGGCCCACCATGGCCGTCATATACCCCCACGAATGTTCCGTGAGTCCCGGACTCGATCTGACTGGCATCTTCGACGAGGCTATTAGCCTGCACCACCGCCATCGAAAACTCCCCCGCGGCGTGACGGCTTAGGTCCCGACACCACATGAGCTCATCTCTCCCGCCTCCGCAATCGAAGTAAGTATCTAAGCTTCGGCCACAGAAAGTACCGACGATCTTCATTAGAGGACGAGCCATCTGTTCCTCCCCAATCTAAAACGTACGGAGAGAAGGTATCCGGCGGCAGGAGATGATCGAGCTCGCGGCGTGTGCCAACAAATCATCAAAGATCGTAGGATCGGACGAAAGCAAACTGCTAAAGCTGTCTATTGATTGATAAATCGCCGAAAGGACCGTCAAAGAGGGATCGCCGGTAAAGAAGATCTCGATCTCCCTTTCTCTCTCTCTCTCTCTCCCCCGCCGGTCTCCTGTTTTACTGTTAGCGCCTAGCGGAGCTGCCGGTTCTTATAAACCTGCCCGTTTCGTCGCTTTCTGAACACAGTGGAAGGGTAAATAAGTAAATAAGCCTATTACCACTTCGCCAGCCTTTTTTTTTTGTTAAAGAAGTTTAATAAATATTAAATTTAAAGATGAAGCAAAATCGTAAAATAAATCACGGTTTTAAGGAAACCTTAAGAGAAAAATTGGTTGTACTGGTTGAACTGTGAACCGGCCGGCCAATAGATTTGATTTAAATATGAATTTGGATTTGCAAAGAACAACTAGAGAACCGCTCAAATCGGGGGTCAAACAGGCGAATCAGAGAACCAAGTTCTGTTTTCCAAAACACGCGGTTTAAACAAAAGAAAATTTAAGCCCTTGGATTTTGATTAATCGGTCCAGATCAAAATAAAAGAAAACCTAAATTCCTATTGCAACCCTTAAACCCTCATTTTGTTCTACTACTCATGTTTCTTTCTCCCCATTCGCCATACAGACTTTGTTGGCAAGCTCAATGACCGGCTAAAAGCCCTTGAGACTGGAAAAATTATTACTTGCGGATCCGGATTCGTCCGGAGACCAATAAACATGCGCCATGTTGCCCCCAAAAAAGTACCGCGCTCGGTATCAAGTGCTTGGTATCGAGCACGGAACCGAACGGTTCTCCCATCCAGTATCGGCACAGAATAATCCCTCCTGAGACCGAGGAAACTCCACCCAGCACAAATACTATTCAACACCCTTTCTTTCCTCTTCGCTTAGCACACCTCCCATAAGCCCTCATATTCTTTTTTTATATTATTTTTTTTAAAAAAATTTATTTAATGATTGTATGTATGGTAAATTAGATGCGAATGCATATAGTTTTGATATTGTGAGTCTTGTAACTAGTTTTAAATGATTCTATGGTAGACTAAATGCATCCTGTAAGCCCTCATTTGTCTCCCTTGTGTGATTTGGTGGCTGATTTTTTCTTTATCATTTTTGCCAATGCTTTATGCACCTTATATATATTTGTATTTATTACATCAAATATCATATATATTACTCATGAATCATACAATCATATTATATCTATTCAAATCTTGAGCACAAAAAAATAACTAAAATAAAAAGAAAAGGAACCTTAGGAATTATGGTTAATTTCTCCTTCATGATTCCCTGTCCTGACCTGAAATCAATTAAATCACATATAATGAGCTCAATAGCCCAGCAAGTCACTAAGTCCTACAACTAAATTCAAAACACGGTAAAAAAATAATATACATGTTAACAATAAATTCATAATAGTGGCAATTAATGATTATGAATCAGTACAAAAATAGTAAAACTCACGTGTAATAGCAGTAAAGTCTATACATAAAAAAATGGTATGATACGAAAACTAGTAAAGTAGTACAATATGGGAACCAGTAAACCAGTACATGTGCCAAGTCTATAAAATAGTCATCATAATAATATTATTTAATAAGTAAAGAAATCATATAAATCTATAAAACTAATGCCTCGATGAAGACCGTCAAAATCGTAATCATAAGGTCAGTATGTCCCATAATTAGTGACAGTGGACCAGTAACCAATAATAATATCATTGAATCAATATCATAATTAATAATTCAGTAACAATATCTTCGATAAAAGTAATAATGAAGTAGTATAGTAACAATAAATATGTATAGTGATAGTAAATTGGTGTAGAAATAGTAAAGTTATACAGTTCAATGGAACGGTAATATGTATTTCAGTAATTACCTATACAGGTAAAGAGTCCAGGCAAAGAGACATTTTTTTAGTAATAAGTTAGTTGTTAATAAGCATTTGCTCAGTAAACAAAGTCATCACTCATTACTTGTTGGTACTATAATAACTCCTTAGAACTCCAATTCGTGAATTGCATAAATTAGTAGAGGATAACATCAAATCATAATATTTAAATGAAAGCCCGACCTTTAGCTCACCATTATGTATAAGTCAGTTAATCTCCCACCAACGTCACTGAAACCATCTTTTATTGGTCTTCACACTTATTGTTATCACAATATTATAAGAGTAATAATGATTAGCTATTAATCAATGACATACCGATATTCATTTTTAATGCCCATTTTAGCAAAATGCATAAAATAAACTATCAATTTATATTTATGAAAATTCATACAAAATACAATATCTTTCATCCTATCCAGTAAAATTCAAAAACATTACAATCAAAATGTTCAAAATATTCAATACAATAACATATAAAATTTACGCAATAAAAATTCTATAAAATTGGGAAAAATATAGTAAAATCAATTTTGAGAAGAATCAAGCAGTCAAAATAAAAAGTTTTCAAAACAGAGATAGTATTATGGTCATCTACCTCAATTAGAACAATTTTCGTAAAAGAAGGAAAGAGAACGAGGAATGAAAAATCATATTTCTTCTTCTCTCTCCCATCTTTATATATATATATATATATATATGTGTGTGTGTGTGTGTGTGTGTGTGTGTGTGTGTGTGTGTGTGTGTGTGTGTGTGTGTGTGTGTGTGTGTTGTTCAACCATAAATTTAAAATTATCATTTTCAAGTATTTTCAAAAATATGAGTTACTATAGGAGGGACCATAGTCGGTGGGTGACGGTGGTCAAAGGGACTTTAGTCGGCAGACGATGGTGGTCCAAGGGATTGTAATCGGCGGGCGACGACTATTGGATGAATCATAGTTCGCAGGCAATGGAGGTAGGATGAAGGCTCGATGATGGCTGCTAGACGAAGGTCCAACGGAGATGGTCGGATAGAGGTCTATAAAAGCTAGCTTCGTGGAAAGGGTTTGCTAGCGCTAGCAATGGTGCTTAGTGGAGCTCTGAGATGCTTCAATCCTTATAACCATCTTCATTTATAGCCCAAGGTCGAAGCCTCCTCTAGTCTAAGCCCCGTTGATGTGGGAGGAGCGGGTCTATTTTTATAAATTTTGAGATTGTCATGTTTTATAAATATGAAAAGATACATAATGAATTTGGAGTGCTCCATCGGACGGCCAATATTGATTCATTCAATCATGGAGCATTTGTTCAACATTTAAGTGCATCATTAGGTTCATTAGATTGATCACGTCGAGTCGCTTGATTTGATTATAAGTATGCTATATTTGGATATCATTTGATCATCCAATTAATGCTTGGAGCTACCAAATATGTTCTAAGCCCTTAATTTAAGTATATTTGAGCTCGGATTGAACAGATTTTGGTGTCATTGGGTTCGTCTCTTCGACACGCTCACTTTGACTATAAGTTTGCTGAAATTAGAGTTCAAAGTGTCTCATATTGAATATGGAAATTTTCCAATTAAAAAATGTCTCAATATTTGTATCCGATCAAGGCTATTTTTGGTGACATATCAATGCTATGTTACAAGCTCGGCTCTATGTTACTTCAGTTGACACTTTCTTTTTGGACTATGTCAAAATATATTTATATAGTCTATTTTTTAAACCCTTAAAAAAATTAAAGCTAAACTCTTTTTGAATACCTTTCAGCTACTGCTTTTTATACAATCCCTGTTGGTTTTTTTTATTTTTTTTTTGAATTTTTGTTATTGAATTGGATGGAGTCTATATTATTTTTCGAGTCGTTGATTTTTTCCAGTCGTTGTTTTTTTTAAAAAAAATTTTTGCTATTGAATTGGACAATAACTCACAATTTTTGCAACATTTGCCTGAATTTTTTAATCAATGAAATTGAATGGGTGTGGAAATCCTTTTTTTTTTAAATAAAATTATTTCAAGATGAATATAATATAATTTTAAATTGATAATGATAATTAATATTTATTTTAAAATAAATTTATTCATTTTAAATATCACTTTATAAAATTTAGATAAAATACTTTGCTACAAAATTTCTAAAAAAAATTTATTGAATTTTTTAACGACACGGAAATTTGATGAGCTAATACGTCAGGATTGATATATCATCAAAAAATTATCTTGATCAGGCACGAATCTCAAGGCAAAAATCAAGTTGGAAATTTCAAAAATTAAATATTGTATCATCTAAACTCCGATTTCAGCAAACTTACAGTCAAACTAAGCATCTCGGAAATACAAACCCAACGAAACCAAATTCAACTCGATCTGAACCCAAATGGGTCCAAATTGAAGACCCGAAGCACATTCGGAATGTTCAATCCATAATTTGGATTACCAAACGGTTTTCAAACATAACATGCTTATAGTCGAATCGAGCAGCTCGACGATACAAATCCAACGAGCTTGAGATTGCCAAAGTCAGATACCTGTAAGACCTTCAAATGTTAGACAAACGGTCCACGATCAAGGGATTCAATATTGGCCGTCCATTCGAACCACTCCACATTTGCCCTTGATCCTCCTCCTATTTACGGGTCATGTCATCCTAAAAAGACTATAAATATCTCCTCATTTCTCTTGAGAGAGGACCCAAACAAGAAGAATAAGAGAAGAAGGAGAAGAGAAGAGAAGAGAAGAGAAGAAGGATATAAGGGAAAAAACTCCTCGACCACCGCCGGAATTTATCAGACTTCCAAGTGACGTCAGAGTTCCCTCCGACTTTGAAGTGACGCTGGAGTTCCGCCCGACTTTTAAGTGACGCTGAAACTCTGTCTGATCTCCAAGTGACGTCGAAACTTCGTCCTATCTCCAAGTAACTCTGGAGTTTTGCCTGAATACCATATAACATCGGAGTTCTCTCTAGTTGCCGACTAACATCAGATTTCTACGAACTTTCTTAGTATGATTGTAAAATGCATTTTTTTTTTTTTTGAAAATTGAGGGCTTGGCCCTTTCTATTAAAAGAACAAAAGATTATAATGGTATACCAAATAAAAACTTAACCTAAAAGAAAAAAAATAGGCTAAGACAAAAGAGAAGAAAAAAGTTACAGCTATGATAATAAAAAAGTGAATCCAAAAACAAATCAGAATCCTATCTAGCCAGAACTCAGAACAAGTCATTGTGATCATGAATGTAGTCAGTTAGAGTCTCCTTT